AATTCTATGTTACCACAGTATCAAAAGAATAATTATTTTATAAAAATTTATTTTTAAAATCGTTGTAAACTTTCATTTATATAAGTTTTATGTTAATTTATTTATTTATACCTTTTTCATAAGTTTTCTTTTTAATATTTTTAATACAAATCTTATTAATAAAATGCAAATATCTGTTATATGAATACATTAGAAATTATTATTTTTTTATATTTTATAACAAATTCAGTATAAACTTTAATTTATGTAAGAATTTTGAATGATAATAACTTCTGGATTGATAACTGAACATCTATTAAGTGATTTATATATCTGAATGGCAAGATCTCCGGGGAATATTCATTTAATTTTACCTATACTTCTATTCATGGTTATACTTTTATTCATTTATATTTGGTTTCAAAATTTATTTTATCTCATATATCTGACTATTTAATTAAATTAAAAGGAAACCTAAGAATAAAGTGCCTAGAATTAAATTAAAAGATGACGATAACGAATGACCGGCAATTAGTATTAAAAATGAGTAGTACATATCATTTATATTCACATTAGCGTATTTTTATCATTATTATTTCCTGATTTAGTACTAAATTTAAGAATTTGATTGTAGTTATTAAGTTCATAATTAAGATTCTAGTATCTTTTGCTCTAGATAATATAGTCACAAGATAAAAATGAAATAAAATACTGTTAAAATTTTAGTAAATTTACATATTCCTCTTACCTGTGTACTATTATAAATACTTATTAGAAAGTAAATTAAAGTTTTGTCAAAAATTTAACGAATATTCCGTCCAAAAATTTTATATTTATTTTCAGTTTGTTTTAATGAATTACGCGTTAGAAATAACTTATGATCTTAAATTATAGTGATAACATTGATTAGAGTACTTCGAAGTACTCTTAGTTTTATTGTAAATATATCAAATTATAATAAAGATTTATTACACTTTTAGTATCTGTAAAATGAAAGTCGATTACAGAACTCTGTAATAATTGTAATTTTGTATATTGTATTACTAATATAGTAATTTAAATAAATGTATTTTAAAATAATTTATATGAACAAATTAATTTAAATTTAGTGTATTTAAGAGTACAGAAATTCAATTTTTTCCAAAATTAATTTATGAAATTGTCTTTCTATAATAAACTCGTGAAGAATTATTTAAAAATATTACTACCTCGTATGATGATTTCTTTATTATGTCTTCTCTCACATATTAAAATGTAATTAAATTAGAGATATTTTAATTATCAACTTCAATAAAAATGAAATTATTATTATTTAATTATTATAAAAAGTAAATTGTTTTAGATTTGTTTATATTTATATATTTTTGTAGTTTAAAGAGACATATAGTAAAACCTCTCTAGTGGGAGTCTGGAGTTCCACAAAAATGTGTCCAATTTAGAGAGGCTTCTCAATAGAAAAGAAGAAAACTACATACATGTTTGCTGGTTTCAATTAACAGCCCACTTTAGAGAGATATCACAATACTGTATATTGTAAAATTATGTATCATTAGAAATTTTCATCTACATTAGAAGCTATTTAGATTACTAAATAGACAATTTAAACATTTAAGTAATAGTAATACAGTATATAACACTAATAATGAATGTTTCAAATTAAGATATTAAGTTTGTTGTAGTGAAAAAAGTACAAGAAATAAGCGGTAAAAGTAAACGTTAGCTGACCCAAAAAGATATTTAACTCGAATTAAAAAATAAAAAATGAATTTCTATATATAAATCAGCAAGATCATAAATTACTCCTTTCGATTAACCATCCTATTGATTTACAATACGCTGAAAGTAATTAAATATGTTAAAGCACCTTAAGTCATTAATTTTAATATCGACATAGTTTTATACTTTCATCAAAATGTTCTATATATGTTTTAATAAAAATGTACTATATATAATTTATAAAAGTATTAATAACCAAATTAAAATTTGAAAAAAAATAGTTTTTTAGATACTAATTAATAGGAATGTAGTCTCTAAATTTCTATGAAGAATAAAGACGATAGATTTTATATTATATTGAGAATCGAATTGCACTTTAATTTTATTGATCACAAATACAATAATTTAGTGGAAGACATTAAAATTTATATCTATTGATAGGATTTTCCGAGATTGTTCATCATTTATAAAGCTATTAAAGACTATCATCACTTTAAAACAATGTAAATAATTAACATTTGAATTCAAACATTTTATTTCCAGTTTTTTAGAAATTCTCATTTACTGAGGGAAATATGAAAATTAAATTCAGACATTTTAGTCGCTCTCTTCACGTATCTCCCGAAATAAACTTAATTTAAGAAAGGGTGGAAGATTTTCACTTCCCATTCTTTCTTAAATTATAATTTTATTCAATATTAAAGCAATTACAAAAATGTTTCTACGATTTATATCACACCTGACCTGTATCTCTCCGGGGAGACATCCCACAGATTAAAACTAGACTTAGAGATTTGAATAATAGTGTAATAAATAACGGACGAAATCAGGACTTTCCATTAAATCGATGATGGAAATTTCCTAAATTTTTTTTAGGTATCAATGTATTTTTTATATAAATAAATGATACTATAAAATATGACAATTAGGCTATACAAGAAGGGAAAACAAAACAAAGGAAAAAGTAAACTTTAATACAGTACATTCAAATAATATTTTATTTCAAATAAAACACGTTTTTCTCTGATTAATAGTATAACTAAGATTTAAAACATTGACTAAATCAATGTCTCATGGCATTTATTTCCCGTATCTTCTCGGAAACAACTAATGAAATAACACTTTGGATTTAAAAAAATAAATAAATTCTATCATTGTTTTAATCTGAGTATAGACTCGATGCATCAATCAGACAAATTGTATTTTAATGAAACTATGAATATTTATAGGATAATTTCTCTTTTAAAATTATTGTATGATTAATCGTGTTGTATAAAATTATTCATTTAGTATAATATAATTTAGTTTGCAATATGTGAAATTCTCACAGTTCGTTAACAATTAATGTCAAACAGATTAATATTAATTCTAGAGAAATTTACAATTTATCTGTGAAAAGTGATATGGAAGAGAGAAAATTAGAATTTTATGAGAAATCGTCACTAAAGAAAAGGAATTTATGCTTTACTAGGAAATTCCAGGAGAATACTATTATAAAAGATTTGTTAAATAATATGTAAATATCTACAGAATGTATAAATAAAAGATTTTATATAATTTATCATATGTATTTTGTTTCCACATTTTTACAAGGTGCCCGCAAAGTCGTGCATTAAGGATTATTAATTTAAAATTAGTTAAATAATTAAATATTAAAATGTAATAACTTTAAATTTAAATATTTTTAATCGATTATAGTACAGTAATTGGAAACGACTGCGGGGTGATCGAGGTGTATACGTTGTCAACCTACCACTCTAACTGGGATCAAAACTGGTCGAGTCGAAAATATTCCAGGAATTTTTCGTAGGGTGATCGTCCCAGATATATAATGTCCCTCACTCAGCTACCTCCATTACCGTGGGTTCACTACCACGGTAATGGAGTAATCACTACCTACCACCGTGGGTTCGGCTTAGCCGAACCCACGGTGAGCTTGATAAAAAGAGGTCCATGGGCAGGAAAAAGTAAACAAAAATTTAATTTTAGAACACGAAAAGAATTTAGTTTCATCGATCCGGATTTTATTAAATAAACATAATTTGGAGCGCATTTCGAACAGTTACAGTTTATTACATTAATCTAATTGATATAAATGTTATATCAAGTAAATTAATGAAAAAGAATGAGTTAAACACGCAAAGTGTAACTACGTTTTAACTCGTAGAAGACGTATAACTATCTTTTTGCGATGTTGATTAAATAAATAGACTTTTTGAGATAATAATTTTATTCGAGAGCTCATCGCAAACTTACGATGAGTATTTCGACGTAAATTCTATTCGGTATGACCATATAGGCTCAGTTTCATCCATTATTGGTAAATTATTACTAGTACTAATATTACATTTAGGGATGTCCCGATACCGGCCAGTGTTGGCATCGGGTATAGAAACTGGAAATCTTGATGATTGTCGCTGTTCAGTCTGTCGCGTCACCTTCCAGTTGTTTTTACTGCTGAAAAGGCAAACATCTCCTTTTTGCGCGGTGGATATGTTCAAAAGAACATGGTATAAAAAAAAAAAATCACGTAAGAAGTACAGTAAATGCATCCATTAGGAAAATTCTCGATAGGATCTATCACTTCAATGGCACGAAAACAAACAATTGACAAAAGAAAAACTTTTTTTATTCTAATATCATTTATTGTTTATTATATTAAAGTACGAATAATGTTAACACAAAGCAGCATTGGAAACAAAATCGACATATAGTACTGTACTGTGCTTAAAAAAGAAAAATTAACTATTTTAACGAAAAAGTAACTTTTTAACAATAAAATTTGAACGAAAAATTAAAAATATTCAAATACTATTTCTTCCCTTGTAAAAATATCAATCTTGTAAAAAGAGCATTAGTTTTCTTTTGTCGACCACGTTATTTCAAAATCGCGTAAAATGGACCGCGTAAAAAGAATAGGTGTACTGTACTCATTACAATGAAGGCTTAACCGAGACCCAGAACAGTAATTAATATTTTGTTACTTACTCCAGGGAATTGAATCCAGGCTATCTGGTTGAGAAGTCAATGCGTCAGTCAGTAGTTTGGTTTACACTGGTATGATTTATGTAGAAAATATCCAGATCTATAGTCCTGTTAATGAGTTCTGTGGGTATTACTATTCACGGGATAGGGGTAGATAAGAAGTCTTTGGTGAAAAGGTAAAACAATGCAGACAATTTAAAATAAGCTATAATTTATATATACTGGTAACATCACCGATGGCCCGAGTTGATTAACAAATAAAAGTACTGCGTAATGTCTAACTAAATATTTATTTATGAATAGTAACGAGCAATTATTTATTATGATATCGTTACAATTCCGGGCTGCAATTTTTAATAATTTTTAATTTATTTAAAATATAGGCTCACCATCTCAAATTAGTAATGGCTTGCCCCTGTACATCATACTTTTCCCTTAGCAATGGAGTCGTGCCATTCATCTATTAACTGCTTTTAGGAAAAAAAATTGAATTGAAANTCACTAAGATTTCTTCGAATTTCATGGTATCCATAAATTTAATTACACCATTTATTTTTACTGCTCTCGAATTTATATCTGCGAAGTTTATTCCATTTACTCCATAGCGTGTAGTGACATTACATAAGAATTGACTCGTTCCTGCAATTAGAAGTGATAAAACACATCTGGAAAAAGAGATTATATGATTTATTTATAATTACCTGTGAATGTCTTCTCTCCATAGATTTTCTCATTTTTACTTAAAGATACAATACTAGTAAGGAACTCTCTGAAGTCCCTCAAATTGTTTAAACTTCCTAAAACATTCAAATTGTTTACAGTTGCGTGAAAAATTTGATAAATCCCTGTTAACTCCTGATTCGAATCTAATGTTATCCTTTCTTGCAGTAATCGTTCTACTTTTTCGTTATTAATAAAATCTATTTGAAGATGATTGTCAACTGTCAAGTTATTCACAGAAGATTCAACAAAGGTTTTCTTGCCTGTTACAGTTTGTTGTATAGATCTGAGCATTACATCGTCATGAAAACTTATCGAGTTGATTGTACTTGCAACCACCAAGTCATTCAATACTTGTACATTCTCAAAAGTTATATTTATAGGAAACACATTTCTTTCTTTAAGAGATATAGAATTACTTTTTAGGTATTTCAAATCCACATTTTTTATTTCTCCTTCTGAAAATATTAGAAAAATATTACAACTCTAGTTTTACGATTTAAAAAAAAATGCAAACTACAGGATAGCCCAAAACGCAACCGTTTTAATAGTAAAAGAGGAGCTTCGTTAGTAGAAACGAGATTAAAGTTTAGAGGAAATATTCAAAGTTATCTTAAATTTTATAGCATTCTTTAGTGAAAATCTTCAGAAAAGTAAACACTGCAAGAACTGGATTTAGATAAAAATGTGAAAAATAAAAATTAAGTTAATATGTAAAATCACTTGAGAAGCGGGTGATTTAGCGCCCAGAAAACATTTTTTCACTACTGCATAGTTATTATGCTTTAATCAATTTTGCAAGGGAAAATCATTGATCTGAAAGTTTGTAATTCATACTTCATAAGTTAAAACCAATACTGTATCCCATTCGCATGGAACTGGAGCAATTGAGTCACGAATGTGCAGTTATTAAAGTTTAACCATTTTATCCGTTGTTAAAATAAACTTTTTCGGTTACCTGATTTTTGGACTATCCTGTAAATAAGGATACAATACCTAGGTTCTTTTCACATGTCACAAAACCCTTAAATGTTTTCTTTCCTACAAAACGGAAAATGTATATTTAGCTCTTGAAAGCAGCAAAGAATAAGAAATTAAATAAATCTTACCTTTAATAAACTGATCACCTTTAGTTAACAAGAAGTCTTTCGATATATTAAAACTGTTAATTTTACCATTAAGCACAACGTCTTCGACATTAAAAGACTCAATAAATCTATACGATCCTGTAATTTCAACAACTTCGTCATGAATAAATATTAAATCGTGATAAAACTCCTCAAATGATGTTCCATTCAAACCGAGTAACTGTTCTACATTTATAGAAGACCCCCTTTCTGTAAGGTGCCAACTTCCTTGGAAATCTTTCCATTCTCTGTAGAGGCGAGTTATATTAATTCCATCAAATAACCCGATTATTTGAAGATTATTTATTATGACTTCGGTAGTAAAAACTTGATATTCCTCCACTCTCTGATCCACAGTAAAAACAATCACGTCTCCAGGTAAATTTAGACCATTCACTTTTCCAAAAACTCGCACGTCATCTGCTATAACGTTACTAAAAATTTTCTCCGCAAGAATCATATTCGTTTTATGTTTTTGTACTAAATCATCTGGAATTCTAAGCCCATTTAAATTTTCAACAATCAGAGTTTCTTTAAAAATTACATTCTCGAAACTTGTCTCCCCCGCGATGATACAAGTTCTATCAGTTCTTGCAAAATTTGAAAAATTCAAAAATTTCCCATTTATTTGCTGTACTTCTAATGATCTAAACTTTAAAAGTTTTTCGAAGCTCAGTTTCCCTCTTACATGCTGATCACCCACCTTTTTAAATGAAGTACGGTTCAGTTCTTCTACAACAATTCCATCAATAATTGGTACCACCACTTCTTCCATTACTTCTACCAATTCGACGAATTGAAGAGGGATATCAACAACACGATCTTTACTAAAAATCACTAAATCTTTTTCGATATTCAAATCGTTCACTGTACCACTTACAGTAATATCTCCGTTAACAGTTAAAATAGATGAACATTTAACGGATCCTGAAATATTTAAAAATTGTAGCATTGTTGCAAGGATGTAAAGATAAAAAATAAATAAATACCTGTTATGGTTTGATGGAAATTTGTTAGCATAACATCTTTGTTTATGTTGAGACCATTCAGATTTTCAACTTCAAGCGTGTTTATTAACAAAGGCATTGTAAAAGTGATTGTTCCGGGAGCACTTAAAATATATTAAAACATTAGAATTTTTCTATAGATATATTTAAATAATTAAAAAAACGATCTTACAGATATAAGGTATTTTGTAAAGCAGTGACGTTGATATCATTTACTCTTTCTAAATACAAATCGGTTGTGATTATTTCTGAGATATCAAAGCTTCCATTTATCTTCTTTTCTCCAGTGATTTCACAATCTTCCCCAATCAAAACAAAATCTGCAATAGATATTTTCTAATAAGATTCTATTTTCGACGAATTTGTTTCCTTCACTTACCATTAGTTTCGTGACTAAGATGATCAACAGAATCCTCCAAATTTATCAGTGTTATTCTAAACTCTTCGATTTTTCCTTTTGCTTCGTCCATCGTTATTTCAGAATCTTTAACCTTGGCATTTTGATAAGTCATAGTTTCAGCAAGAAGGGTGCCAAAGATCGTTATTTTATTAAAATATTGTGTTACACGTAGCAATTCTGTGTCCGGTTTTACGGCATGGTTTAAAACATTACTAATTAAATTTATATTATATTCTTGTTGTAGAAGCATATCCTAAAATGATTTTGGAAATTAAAAATTTAATCTCAGAACAATTAGCGAGATATTAACAAACCTTTAATTCATTCATTTCTTTTGAGATAACGCTCAGGAATTGATATACGGGATTATCAGTTTCCATAAGAGTACTGTTGATGGATACAAGAGAACTTTTTCTTCCTTCAAAGAATAAGAGATACGGCTTCCTCATGTGTTCGAAACTAGTTATAGTTCCCGGAATGGGAAGTAATTCAGGATAATTTTTTGCTAGAAATTATACACAATAAAAATATAGCTTACAAAATGCTACAAGATCAAATGATTTACCTGCTCTGATAAATCTTCCCATTTCTCCATGCCATACAAATACAGATAATTTGTTACTTAATAACAGCAATATTACTTCATCCCTACAAGTTGGGATGGAGAAACTAAACCATTGCTTTGCACCATTCTCGGAAAAATTCTGCTTTACGAAAAAGCCATCTGTTGTCCATTCGTATAAATTTTGTACATAACTCCCAGCAATTGCTAAGAAACGCTTAAAACCCAACCTAAAAGTTTCTATATCTTTAATCTTCGCTCCTTTTATTCTAAAAAATTAAATATTTTCTTCAATAAAAGCATATCTTTAGAAATAACTTAAGAATCTACTCACGAATTCACATATTCTGCACGTGTTAGATAATAATCTAGTCGATATATATGCACTGCGGTACGTGTAGCCATTGCAATGTAATCGAGTCCATCGACAGTAAACACTTCAATGTCAACTGCGTCTGGAGAGATTGCGTGAAAAATCGTTACGAAAGTTTTAGTATCATCTATAAGGAAAAAAGGGTTCGTTTATTATTAAGCAAGCAATACAGGAAATTACACTCGCTCAATCAACATACCATTGCTCTTTTCTATGATCTTATCAATTCCTCGATAGTTTTCGAAGAGAATAATCAGAGAGAAGTGATCCCACTCGTAATGAGATTTAATATGGCATAATTTCAATGGTTTTAACGTGCCTTTCATCTTTAACGGTTTCACAGTCTTAAAAAAACCATACAATATTATTACTTTGTACATAATTCATAATTTTAAATAATTTAACAGAAAAAAACTTAATAAAAACCTCGAGAATCATTGTTTCCATATTGTCATTCCACTGAAAAACTCTCAGAAAACAGTCATAATTGCATTCGATCATTGCCAGATGAAATATCTTTTTATATTTAATTTCTATAATGCACATAAGAGCATCTATTACTACACCTGAAAGATGAAGGGAAAAAAACATTAAAATTTACCATTGGTATGAACTTGCTTAAATCTTATTTGTGCCTAAATCGTACAGTCACTTTTTCGGGTTTTTTTTTTTTTAATTTTGCACTAACACATCGGATGAATATATCAACTAGTCCACCCTATGAAAGAAGCAAAGGGTGTGTGAAGATTGTTCTATGCAAAAATATTGGAAAAAGAATTGTTTTACTTCATTTCTCAATATTTTCTAACATTTTAAAGGTTTTATGTTGATAATCGATAATTCTGGCAAAAAATGTACGATCGTGAGTTAAGATTTTTTCTTTGACAATGTTTTGGCAATAAGAAAAGGCGTCTAAGATAATTTTATTCTTTTCTAGCATGATTGATGTCAACTTGATCTGTGCGCTTAATTCATATCCTTGCCAGTTGCTTTAGAATAATCGGAAAATACAATGCACGAGTAATTTTTTACATGAAAATGTCTAAAAGTACTACGGTTGCAAAAAAGCGATATGGGGAAAACTTAAAAATATATAATGGTATCATGAAGTTTAACCAGATGTTTTTACAAAATATCAAAGCCAACATTTAAAACATATTTGAAAAAAGTACAAAAGAGTTGGAAGACCGAAAAGACCTAACATTTGGAATATTTTCTTCGTCGCTATTGTAACTGGTAAACGACTGTTCTAAACTCTGAACTTTAACGAAAGTTCAGAGTTCGTAAAGTCCTCTCAAGTTAGTAATACTATAAAAAGATTCCACTGTATATCCTAAAATTAGAATTCTGTTTCTTTGGTTTGATATTAAATTTACATAATTTAGCGTTTGCTTTCAGAAAAATTAGATCATTAATTTTTTCAACCTGCTAAATGTCCCTGATGATAGTTTCACACATTTACAAGAAATCACCGTGAATTATCTTTGAGAGCACCAGAATAGGCATAAATTGTTCGTTGCAAAGGCTTTAATCGAGCCGGGGAATATGAAATTGTAATGTTGTACCTACGAGCTCAAACATTAAATCCAACTTCTGAACAAAGTCTTAAGTCTTTGCAGCATCATTTTAATGAATTTTCCGAAAATTTTGATGCGTAATCACCTGGGGAGGGTAATTAATTAAACAATTGAACATATCTGAGATTTTAGGAATAGCATATCCTTTAATATATCTAGAGACTGCTTAAAATGATTTTGAGCCATGTGGCTTGCATCCTTACGATCGTTACAAAAGAAATAAGGAGTAAGCAGCAGTCGAGAATGATCAATAGAATCAATGACGTTCATTCATTCTGTCTACAAGCCAGAACGTAGAAGACGCAAAAAATCTTTGAGGATTAGCATCTCAGCAGCATTCAATGTCCACTGATGACTGCCAAAATAGCAAGTCCCCCTTAGACTTAAGAGTACAATTTGAAGTTTTATCATCTCCTATAAGCCGAACTGTAGGAGTTAAAAAAGAACCTACATTAAGTATAAAACTAAAGATTACGAAGAACTAAACCACAAATGTCGCCTTCTAGTCATAAAAAATTTAAAAAATAAATTAGAATAAAAAAAAATTAATCTTGAACTTTCGATAAAGATTCTTTGGAAAAACTTAAAGAAAAATCACGAAAACAACACAAAGAAAAAAACAACAGAAAGATGAATATTCTAGTTGATATCGCTTTATGGGCAATAAAAATAAAGAAACCCGATTTAACGTACACAATGCCAAGGTTGGGAGCAAGTTTTGTACAAGAGTTGAAAAGACGACTTACAGGTGTGATCAACGTTACAGTACGTACTACGTACTTAAGTAACAAGACTCTTGTTACTTAATTACGATTTCTTCTAAGGACGAATTAGGAACATCGAAGTACGATTAAAGACCAACGTTCCGAAATTTTGCTTTTGTTTAAATCTTGAAATTAAGATGACTTGATTATTTGTTAATTTTCGTTTGTGACAAAGTTTAATAGAGAATAATAATTAGAATTAACTTACAATTTTGTTATTTTGATTTACCTTACGAGTTACATTTTGTGTACTAATCGATTTCTTGTGGAGGTACGATTTAAGCCAACAACTTATCCTAAATGTTGCATTAATTTATGCAATTACCATCAAATTCTTCATGCCAAAAACGGTTATTTTCAAAAAATTGAGACGATTCACTTAATGTTGGCTCTCGCCATAGAGACAAACTATGTTGCTGTATTGCCAGTACGTAATCCGCATTGTTGAACCTGATATATCGCCATTTTTTAAACTGAGGAATCTCAAGAACTTTATAAATATTAAATGCATCAATCGAAATTTCTACAAAAATAAAATTAATGTTAAAATTTATGTTTATAAAGCATTAAAATGATGTTTAAAGTACCTTTCCTATTCCCCGTATTGGTGTCGGGAATGTAATGATACATGAAGTCATCAGAATATAACTCATAAGAATCGAATTTTTTAATTAATTCGATAGTGATGCGATCTAATTCTCTGTTTAGTCTATCTAAAAAGGGTTCCTATAACGACAAACAGAAAATTTCATTTTTATTTTTAAGAAGTAAAGTTGAATTTATTATAGAACACTTACTCTAGTGTTGTAAGTTACACCAATCAACCACCATAAAATCCACCACTTGATCATCCTAAATTAAACAAATTTTATTACATTTGAGTTTTATATCTATTAAAAGTAATTTAAAGATACTCAAATTTAATTAAAATCATATTTTTTTTGATAGATTAAATCATACGTACGTGTTATCTTCGAATATTTTGTAGCGAATCTGCCCTTCATCACTCAATAAATGAATAACGATTGCGTATGTTTATGCAAATAAATTACACATAAAAGTAACGAAATAATTTTCAGAATCAGAATTTTAATTATTAAATAATAAGCTATATAAGTAAAACAATAAAAAAATTAAAAAATTAGTGTAAAAAATGTTTAAAAAATAAATAAGAATTCGGAATGTGATGACGATTTTAATTGATAAAAAATTATTTTATAATTAAATATTTATTAATATTATTAAATTAATAATTTATATTTTAATTGCATATTTTTTAAAGATCAATTTTTTAAAAATGCTTAGAATTTAATTTATTCTAAAAACGAAAATAATTAAAGTTTAGAGCCATTATATAGTATTTATAATGGATAAGTCTTAAAAGGAACATTTGCATTATTAGAATAGTGCATACATTTACGAAAATTTGACGTCATTCCTACATTTTTTTAATAATGGGGTCGTGTAAAATGACACTAAATGTGCCCCCATTAATATAGGCTTTTATATATTTAAAAAAGACGAAGACGTCATCGAACTGACGTAATAACGTATACTATTTTGATATAACAGTGTAATCTATTCTAACACAGCTTATATGTAAGTTATATATATTATAACAGAGGAAGTGTAAAATGACATCAAATTGACGTAATAGTGTACCTTATACTGTACACTGTACTATCCTGAAACCGAATCGACTGACTTGTGTATATTATTATGTTAACGTAACGCAATTGACCCTTTTACTTCAACAAATATAACTTTAAAAAATATTAAAATTTGAGGGATTTACAACCACAAAATACAGGGAAAAATATTTGTGTTTATAAAATAAATAAAATCATTTTATTTATATTTTTTCTTATTCTTAATGAGACAGATAAGCTATTTTANATATGTAGAAGCCTTAGGTGCAGAAAGCTCCAATTAATTATCTATATACGAACTTCTGATGCAAACCGGAAGTCACGTTATTTCAATTCAATTTTTTTTTCCTAAAAGCAGTTAATAGATGAATGGCACGACTCCATTGCTAAGGGAAAAGTATGATGTACAGGGGCAAGCCATTACTAATTTGAGATGGTGAGCCTATATTTTAAATAAATTAAAAATTATTAAAAATTGCAGCCCGGAATTGTAACGATATCATAATAAATAATTGCTCGTTACTATTCATAAATAAATATTTAGTTAGACATTACGCAGTACTTTTATTTGTTAATCAACTCGGGCCATCGGTGATGTTACCAGTATATATAAATTATAGCTTATTTTAAATTGTCTGCATTGTTTTACCTTTTCACCAAAGACTTCTTAAGATACTTGTCCTAGATACTTGGTGAGATACTTGTCCTAGATACTTGTCCAAGATACTTGGTGAGAGTGATGCATGATTGTTCCAATGTTATAAAAGAATAATTTAGAATAATCTGTATCCTCTAGTCAGATAACATTGCAGAAACTCGTACAAAAAGTGAGCATTTTGTTAGAACATTTACAAAACTACGCCTTCAGAGACAATACAAAAGAGGTAGACCAGTGTTTTTTCAACCTTTTCGTCTCACGGCACACTAACCCATAATTAAATTTCCGCGGAAAAAGAAAATCACGTAATTTAAACTTGTGTTTGTAAACATTCTATCGTCACATTACTTGCCACTTAAAACGGCACTGTTCTTCCTTAAAATAGCAGCAATTGTAAATGAAAATTATTAATTATTAAATAACTTAGGAAAAAGCAATTAACATGGTTTTAATTTGCATTCAAAAGTGGCATGATAATTGAATTTAGAAGCCTGCCCAATGTTCTGCTATTTCTAAAATAGAAGAACATTGGCGTTAAAATAATTTGAACTAAATATGGGCAATTATAGATTTGCTCGTGAATATATATTTTTACTACATTGTTATAATAAATAAAAGTATACATAATGAAAAACTCGTATAATAAATTTAAAGTGGTTTTAATTTTGACATTTATTGTTCTTTGGGCTTCTTTCAAAGATTAACCTTCAAAACTTTTCGCTGCACACAGGTTGAAAATCACTGACTTAGAGAATCGAACGTGACGTTATTGATAACAGACAGCATTCCTGCTGTCACTGTTTCCCCAAGTCACTTGTACGACTCTTCACTTCGTCAATACCAAGCAGCGCTAGTGAGTACGCATTATACTTTAATGCTTCTAGGAGACTGTAAAGAAAATTCAGAGGAATAGAAAATCTGGGGAACGTGGTGGCCATGGATCAGAGTTGTGCTCTCCTACCAAGAGGTTTCAAAACAGCTCTGCGAGTCAGTGACGCACGTCTATCAGGGAATCATGCTGGTACAAAACCTGCTATAATTGCGCCAATGATTAGTCAACCATTTGTTTAGGATGTTCAGATATTGGTCATTGTTCAGGGTGTCAGTGAATACGGGATCAAGAAGCTGCTGACCTTATATTCCACACCAGACGTTGAGGGTAAAATGCATTTGGTGTCGCGTGTGTCGTGTGCATCGTGGAGTACACACTGCCCAGTGTTGCACATTGTGACATTCATTTCAATATGGGGAAAAAAGTACCTTGTTAGACCATAAAATTTTTTTTTAAAAACCTGAATCATGTTTTAAATACGTTTCTCTCAGTTTTTCCTACTAATATGAGAAGTTGCTCCATGCATAAATTATTGCATGAGCAAACTGGAAATATCCAATTAGTCAAGAAAATATAAAAGTTCTAGGTTCCAAATTCTTAAATCTGAAAAAAACCTGTGTTTTAAATAAAGTTAAGAAAAAAATGTACGTTTAAATTCTCAATATTTGTTTATTTGAAAGAGTAAACTATTTTAAACAGTTAAATTTGTCAACAAATTCTTCAAAGAACTAACAGTTAATTTTTTGAAACGCGTAATAGAACAAGTTAACAGTTATTTTTTGAGTAACATTGACACTCCAAAGGCAAATTCTTTCCACGAGAACCTGAAAATATTTAGAATATTTAAATTTATTTATTTATTATATAGTTATTTAAATTCGTTTACCTTTCGAGATAGCTTTTAATAAAATCGAGTTTTTCTTTCCGGCAACAATTATGTATAGTTGATTGTCCATGAATAAGATGTCTAAATCTTGCACGTCACTAATCCAAATAGGAAATTCTTTAGTAAAACCGCTTTCTCCTTCAAATCTATAGATATTGATGAAACTAGAATTTGCTATTATGAGATAAAGCTCGCGCTGAATGCCATATTCAAACAGTTTGACATGTTTTGCGTTCTCGAATGGAATATTTTGGTATAGAACAAATGGAAGTACATTTCTTCTATTTCTATAAATCTGAATACAAAATAGATAAGTTGTAAAAGTGATAAGAATCACAATAGGAAGACAGAGACATACCTTTACAGAAGACACTTCTAACGATTCGTTTTTGAAGTTTTCATCAGAAAACAATAAATAATGATAAATACTTCTAGTAAAGTATAATAAGTTTTCTATTTTGCGTCCGGGAAGGATTTGCATTTTTCTAAAATATTTATCATAAATTGCACTGAGTCCATAAGGACAAAAGGATTGAGTACAGACCCTGCCGATGACTACGAAGAGATTCCAGTTCGTAGAAAACAATTCTACGCTTGTTACATCTATAAAAAAATAGAAACTTCATTTTCAAAACAAAAATTTTTTATAAAGTTAATAGTATACGCAGCCTACGATTTATGTGAGGTTCATAGATACAGGATAACCCAAAAAACAGTTAACCGTATTTTTTGCAATCACTTCAATTTTTGCAAGAAAATTAGAAATTTATGAAAGTATTAATATTAAAACCATATTTTCGTAAATTGAACAATGATCTCATTTTTAATATTTTCAAAACCTAAACTGATTTTTGGGCAATCCTGTGTTAATGTCTCCTAGTGAGATTTCAATCTGTTAAATATCTTATTCTTACTTTTACAGTCTTTAAAATCTTTCGCATTATTTTTTGAAAAAAGGACGCATCTGTTATGAACCACGATCAATTTGGCTACATTTTCGATTATGGCGATGTGAGTGGCTTCAAATTCCGTTGTTAAAATATCTTTTAAAAGAACATTTGAATTTAAAAAAAGTTAAATATTTAAGGAAGTATCACAAAAAAATACTTACAATTTGCTCTTTTTGAAGACCTGAATCTATTCAAGTTAATTTTTTTACTTTCTAACAACAATCTAGCTTTTTCTTTGGAAATGTTAATATTACTAACGTGACAGCCTTGTTCTTGGTCATGTGTTTCGTTAACAAACGAGAAAGAAATCACTTTTTCGCTACCGGGCAATTGATAAAAATGAATTGTTCTTGTGTTTTGATCGGCAACTACTTTAAATGAGGACACTTGCAAAAGATTGCAATCTACGAATTTATATAACACGGTAAAAGAATCTAAAAAAAAGAAAAAAATTGTTATTACAGATAAATTAATATTTGAAAGATTTAGAGAAACCTACTTTTTATAGTTTGTTTTATTCTTTCAATTGTCAAAGTTTGATTTCTTATGATCCTCTCAATTACTTTCTTCCTATTTCTTATAATTAGTGAGAAACTTTTTATATCATTAACAATAATGTTAGGACGATGATCATTGAAACTTTCTGTTACGCTTATATCGTACGTGATCAACGTGTGAACGCTTGTAACCATATGGTCATCTTTAAAAAATTTTTCCACTTCATAAACGTCTCTTCCATTAATAATACCTAGAAAGATCATTTGTAAATTTTGTTTATAACATTTAAAAAGCACGAGTACACATACCTGTCACATTTATATTATTGATTTTTATTTTCGAAAAAGTCATTCTTTCTATAAATTGTTCGCTATTTAATGTTATTAAATCTTGCAGATTTATTCCATGCACAGTTCTAGCCCTTATATTTTTAAAGAAAATAGCAGTTCCCTAAAATAAAATGAAAATTGCTATAAAGTCTAATTAAAAGAATATAAGCATAAAGAAACGCTAGCTTATTTACTTCTAAATGAACTAATGAAACTCCTATTTCATTTATAAAGTTTGGAAAAGTTGGTTTATCCGATATGTTCAAACCATTCAAGAAGCCTTTCAGTTGAATGTCCGCGTTAATATGCAAATTCTCAAATGTTTTCTTGCCTGTTATCACTTGTGTATCTGAAAAAAATTAACAGTCTTTATACAGGATTGACGGGAGGAGAAGACAAGCAAACTTACCTTTAGATGTAACCAGTAAAAAGTCTACAAAAGGAATTCCGTTTACAGTTTTCACATACAAATTTTTTATTTCAACGTTACCCTCAATAGTCTTCGTTCCTGAGAATTAGAGCTTATTTTAATTTGATTTTAAATAATTGATATCTACTAATGTGAGGTAGATAGTCTATTTTATTTTATTATACCAAGGGCTAAAAGCAATCTTCGTAATAATTTCGTTATTTAAAAATAACTTATATAAAGCGATTATGTTTTAACTCACCTGTAATACTGATAACTTCTTTATTCGAATAGACTACATCCTCTGACCATGTTTGAATATTGATATTATTAACATATTGCCTTACTAAGACATTTCCATCGACATGCACATTACTGCGCACTATAACCCGATCAAAATTAAAACTTTTAGATATACGATGTTGCCCATGAATGGTAACGATGTCCTGTGCAATATTACAAAAAGCCACATCATTTATATATTCAGCAAAGATTTCCTCCTCGACGTAAATTGGATCGCCAGTCGTCACGTTTTCGAAAACGATCTTTCCATTTAAATCGTTGACCGTTCCCGTAACCAATAAGTTTTCAATTATAACTTCTTCCAAAAAATTTAAATTTCCATGAATTGAGATGGATTCTCTGTATTTTAATACAGATTCGTTCAATTCTGTTATATTTATTTCCGATATGAAAGTGGAAACTTCCAAATGGCCATTTAAAACAACCTTATCAAAAGTGAATATTCCTATAAAATGAAAAAAATTAATATAAAATGATCGTATCATCCTGTAAATTAGACGTAATGTATAATAAAAATTTAACAGTGTCTTCTTACAGACCAGCATATTGTATAGTACTGTATAATAAATCCATTTACTTACGCAGTAAAACTGAAAACGGAAACCTGCCTAAACGGAAAAAATATTCGGTACCGTGCGATTTCGGCTTATACATTTTACTGTAATTTTTTTAATTTTAAAAAAACAAAATTGAATTTATTACAAAATTTTAAAGTTACTTGTATAATGTTCAAAACACCTTTACTGAACTTCCGATATTTTTCAAAAATATTTATACGGAACCTTGTTTGATATACAGTATATGGTTAAAATTTTCTATATTTAGTCTATAGTAATAGTTTTTACTACTATCACTATAGACGAAATATAATAAACTAAAACCTAAAAAGCTAAAAACGATTTATATGAAATATTAGTCTTTAACCTTGCGAAGTGTAATCAGTGTCTCATGGAATTGTTATATAAAAAAGATCCATCTAAGTGCGATTTTGTTAGCCATGCCACATTAAGATGGAGCTTCAAAGTATCAATATTTAAAATTTCTCCAGGAAAGTGAGTAATGTGAAAATATTCAACAAAAGATTTTAGTTCTCAAAAGTGATAATTACGAATTGTTAGTTATATATATACACACACACACACACTACTAATGTGTATAGTACATGTTATAAAAGATATAGAAAATAGTTAACTGTATAAACAGTTTAATTTGATATGAAATGAAATATGAACTCGAGTAAACTGTTCGTTTTTCATGAGATTAGTCTTCAGGTTTTTCCAAGTAATACATTAACTACTCTATTTATATTTAAATTGTAAACTAGATATTTAAAATTTTAAAAATATTACAATAGTAAAATTTTGTTACTTCTTATTTCTCAAGTTTTAAATTACTCGAATATCAATTTGCAAAAGTCTGAAAATAAGATTAAATTCAAAAAGCATTAGTTTGCTTTTTAAATCAATCCGATGTGTTATAATTATATTTGTAGAAAAATAGACGTCAGTTTACCTGTAATATTTTGTTCTGTATTTTTCGTTAAGAAATTCGAAAATTCTATATTGTTGATAGAAACAACGTACAGATTTCCTCGAATGGAAAAATTCTCTAAGAATTCAGTTTTACCGTAGATTGTAGCATTACTTCCTTGCATAACGCTGTTCTCTAGCAAATATTCAATATCCACTTCATTCACGATACGTGCTGAAAGATTTCCTCTCACTAAGATTTCTTCGAATTTCATGGTATCCATAAATTTAATTACACCATTTATTTTTACTGCTCTCGAATTTATATCTGCGAAGTTTATTCCATTTACTCCATAGCGTGTAGTGACATTACATAAGAATTGACTCGTTCCTGCAATTAGAAGTGATAAAACACATCTGGAAAAAGAGATTATATGATTTATTTATAATTACCTGTGAATGTCTTCTCTCCATAGATTTTCTCATTTTTACTTAAAGATACAATACTAGTAAGGAACTCTCTGAAGTCCCTCAAATTGTTTAAACTTCCTAAAACATTCAAATTGTTTACAGTTGCGTGAAAAATTTGATAAATCCCTGTTAACTCCTGATTCGAATCTAATGTTATCCTTTCTTGCAGTAATCGTTCTACTTTTTCGTTATTAATAAAATCTATTTGAAGATGATTGTCAACTGTCAAGTTATTCACAGAAGATTCAACAAAGGTTTTCTTGCCTGTTACAGTTTGTTGTATAGATCTGAGCATTACATCGTCATGAAAACTTATCGAGTTGATTGTACTTGCAACCACCAAGTCATTCAATACTTGTACATTCTCAAAAGTTATATTTATAGGAAACACATTTCTTTCTTTAAGAGATATAGAATTACTTTTTAGGTATTTCAAATCCACATTTTTTATTTCTCCTTCTGAAAATATTAGAAAAATATTACAACTCTAGTTTTACGATTTAAAAAAAAATGCAAACTACAGGATAGCCCAAAACGCAACCGTTTTAATAGTAAAAGAGGAGCTTCGTTAGTAGAAACGAGATTAAAGTTTAGAGGAAATATTCAAAGTTATCTTAAATTTTATAGCATTCTTTAGTGAAAATCTTCAGAAAAGTAAACACTGCAAGAACTGGATTTAGATAAAAATGTGAAAAATAAAAATTAAGTTAATATGTAAAATCACTTGAGAAGCGGGTGATTTAGCGCCCAGAAAACATTTTTTCACTACTGCATAGTTATTATGCTTTAATCAATTTTGCAAGGGAAAATCATTGATCTGAAAGTTTGTAATTCATACTTCATAAGTTAAAACCAATACTGTATCCCATTCGCATGGAACTGGAGCAATTGAGTCACGAATGTGCAGTTATTAAAGTTTAACCATTTTATCCGTTGTTAAAATAAACTTTTTCGGTTACCTGATTTTTGGACTATCCTGTAAATAAGGATACAATACCTAGGTTCTTTTCACATGTCACAAAACCCTTAAATGTTTTCTTTCCTACAAAACGGAAAATGTATATTTAGCTCTTGAAAGCAGCAAAGAATAAGAAATTAAATAAATCTTACCTTTAATAAACTGATCACCTTTAGTTAACAAGAAGTCTTTCGATATATTAAAACTGTTAATTTTACCATTAAGCACAACGTCTTCGACATTAAAAGACTCAATAAATCTATACGATCCTGTAATTTCAACAACTTCGTCATGAATAAATATTAAATCGTGATAAAACTCCTCAAATGATGTTCCATTCAAACCGAGTAACTGTTCTACATTTATAGAAGACCCCCTTTCTGTAAGGTGCCAACTTCCTTGGAAATCTTTCCATTCTCTGTAGAGGCGAGTTATATTAATTCCATCAAATAACCCGATTATTTGAAGATTATTTATTATGACTTCGGTAGTAAAAACTTGATATTCCTCCACTCTCTGATCCACAGTAAAAACAATCACGTCTCCAGGTAAATTTAGACCATTCACTTTTCCAAAAACTCGCACGTCATCTGCTATAACGTTACTAAAAATTTTCTCCGCAAGAATCATATTCGTTTTATGTTTTTGTACTAAATCATCTGGAATTCTAAGCCCATTTAAATTTTCAACAATCAGAGTTTCTTTAAAAATTACATTCTCGAAACTTGTCTCCCCCGCGATGATACAAGTTCTATCAGTTCTTGCAAAATTTGAAAAATTCAAAAATTTCCCATTTATTTGCTGTACTTCTAATGATCTAAACTTTAAAAGTTTTTCGAAGCTCAGTTTCCCTCTTACATGCTGATCACCCACCTTTTTAAATGAAGTACGGTTCAGTTCTTCTACAACAATTCCATCAATAATTGGTACCACCACTTCTTCCATTACTTCTACCAATTCGACGAATTGAAGAGGGATATCAACAACACGATCTTTACTAAAAATCACTAAATCTTTTTCGATATTCAAATCGTTCACTGTACCACTTACAGTAATATCTCCGTTAACAGTTAAAATAGATGAACATTTAACGGATCCTGAAATATTTAAAAATTGTAGCATTGTTGCAAGGATGTAAAGATAAAAAATAAATAAATACCTGTTATGGTTTGATGGAAATTTGTTAGCATAACATCTTTGTTTATGTTGAGACCATTCAGATTTTCAACTTCAAGCGTGTTTATTAACAAAGGCATTGTAAAAGTGATTGTTCCGGGAGCACTTAAAATATATTAAAACATTAGAATTTTTCTATAGATATATTTAAATAATTAAAAAAACGATCTTACAGATATAAGGTATTTTGTAAAGCAGTGACGTTGATATCATTTACTCTTTCTAAATACAAATCGGTTGTGATTATTTCTGAGATATCAAAGCTTCCATTTATCTTCTTTTCTCCAGTGATTTCACAATCTTCCCCAATCAAAACAAAATCTGCAATAGATATTTTCTAATAAGATTCTATTTTCGACGAATTTGTTTCCTTCACTTACCATTAGTTTCGTGACTAAGATGATCAACAGAATCCTCCAAATTTATCAGTGTTATTCTAAACTCTTCGATTTTTCCTTTTGCTTCGTCCATCGTTATTTCAGAATCTTTAACCTTGGCATTTTGATAAGTCATAGTTTCAGCAAGAAGGGTGCCAAAGATCGTTATTTTATTAAAATATTGTGTTACACGTAGCAATTCTGTGTCCGGTTTTACGGCATGGTTTAAAACATTACTAATTAAATTTATATTATATTCTTGTTGTAGAAGCATATCCTAAAATGATTTTGGAAATTAAAAATTTAATCTCAGAACAATTAGCGAGATATTAACAAACCTTTAATTCATTCATTTCTTTTGAGATAACGCTCAGGAATTGATATACGGGATTATCAGTTTCCATAAGAGTACTGTTGATGGATACAAGAGAACTTTTTCTTCCTTCAAAGAATAAGAGATACGGCTTCCTCATGTGTTCGAAACTAGTTATAGTTCCCGGAATGGGAAGTAATTCAGGATAATTTTTTGCTAGAAATTATACACAATAAAAATATAGCTTACAAAATGCTACAAGATCAAATGATTTACCTGCTCTGATAAATCTTCCCATTTCTCCATGCCATACAAATACAGATAATTTGTTACTTAATAACAGCAATATTACTTCATCCCTACAAGTTGGGATGGAGAAACTAAACCATTGCTTTGCACCATTCTCGGAAAAATTCTGCTTTACGAAAAAGCCATCTGTTGTCCATTCGTATAAATTTTGTACATAACTCCCAGCAATTGCTAAGAAACGCTTAAAACCCAACCTAAAAGTTTCTATATCTTTAATCTTCGCTCCTTTTATTCTAAAAAATTAAATATTTTCTTCAATAAAAGCATATCTTTAGAAATAACTTAAGAATCTACTCACGAATTCACATATTCTGCACGTGTTAGATAATAATCTAGTCGATATATATGCACTGCGGTACGTGTAGCCATTGCAATGTAATCGAGTCCATCGACAGTAAACACTTCAATGTCAACTGCGTCTGGAGAGATTGCGTGAAAAATCGTTACGAAAGTTTTAGTATCATCTATAAGGAAAAAAGGGTTCGTTTATTATTAAGCAAGCAATACAGGAAATTACACTCGCTCAATCAACATACCATTGCTCTTTTCTATGATCTTATCAATTCCTCGATAGTTTTCGAAGAGAATAATCAGAGAGAAGTGATCCCACTCGTAATGAGATTTAATATGGCATAATTTCAATGGTTTTAACGTGCCTTTCATCTTTAACGGTTTCACAGTCTTAAAAAAACCATACAATATTATTACTTTGTACATAATTCATAATTTTAAATAATTTAACAGAAAAAAACTTAATAAAAACCTCGAGAATCATTGTTTCCATATTGTCATTCCACTGAAAAACTCTCAGAAAACAGTCATAATTGCATTCGATCATTGCCAGATGAAATATCTTTTTATATTTAATTTCTATAATGCACATAAGAGCATCTATTACTACACCTGAAAGATGAAGGGAAAAAAACATTAAAATTTACCATTGGTATGAACTTGCTTAAATCTTATTTGTGCCTAAATCGTACAGTCACTTTTTCGGTTTTTTTTTTTTTTAATTTTGCACTAACACATCGGATGAATATATCAACTAGTCCACCCTATGAAAGAAGCAAAGGGTGTGTGAAGATTGTTCTATGCAAAAATATTGGAAAAAGAATTGTTTTACTTCATTTCTCAATATTTTCTCACATTTTAAAGGTTTTATGTTGATAATCGATAATTCTGGCAAAAAATGTACGATCGTGAGTTAAGATTTTTTCTTTGACAATGTTTTGGCAATAAGAAAAGGCGTCTAAGATAATTTTATTCTTTTCTAGCATGATTGATGTCAACTTGATCTGTGCGCTTAATTCATATCCTTGCCAGTTGCTTTAGAATAATCGGAAAATACAATGCACGAGTAATTTTTTACATGAAAATGTCTAAAAGTACTACGGTTGCAAAAAAGCGATATGGGGAAAACTTAAAAATATATAATGGTATCATGAAGTTTAACCAGATGTTTTTACAAAATATCAAAGCCAACATTTAAAACATATTTGAAAAAAGTACAAAAGAGTTGGAAGACCGAAAAGACCTAACATTTGGAATATTTTCTTCGTCGCTATTGTAACTGGTAAACGACTGTTCTAAACTCTGAACTTTAACGAAAGTTCAGAGTTCGTAAAGTCCTCTCAAGTTAGTAATACTATAAAAAGATTCCACTGTATATCCTAAAATTAGAATTCTGTTTCTTTGGTTTGATATTAAATTTACATAATTTAGCGTTTGCTTTCAGAAAAATTAGATCATTAATTTTTTCAACCTGCTAAATGTCCCTGATGATAGTTTCACACATTTACAAGAAATCACCGTGAATTATCTTTGAGAGCACCAGAATAGGCATAAATTGTTCGTTGCAAAGGCTTTAATCGAGCCGGGGAATATGAAATTGTAATGTTGTACCTACGAGCTCAAACATTAAATCCAACTTCTGAACAAAGTCTTAAGTCTTTGCAGCATCATTTTAATGAATTTTCCGAAAATTTTGATGCGTAATCACCTGGGGAGGGTAATTAATTAAACAATTGAACATATCTGAGATTTTAGGAATAGCATATCCTTTAATATATCTAGAGACTGCTTAAAATGATTTTGAGCCATGTGGCTTGCATCCTTACGATCGTTACAAAAGAAATAAGGAGTAAGCAGCAGTCGAGAATGATCAATAGAATCAATGACGTTCATTCATTCTGTCTACAAGCCAGAACGTAGAAGACGCAAAAAATCTTTGAGGATTAGCATCTCAGCAGCATTCAATGTCCACTGATGACTGCCAAAATAGCAAGTCCCCCTTAGACTTAAGAGTACAATTTGAAGTTTTATCATCTCCTATAAGCCGAACTGTAGGAGTTAAAAAAGAACCTACATTAAGTATAAAACTAAAGATTACGAAGAACTAAACCACAAATGTCGCCTTCTAGTCATAAAAAATTTAAAAAATAAATTAGAATAAAAAAAAATTAATCTTGAACTTTCGATAAAGATTCTTTGGAAAAACTTAAAGAAAAATCACGAAAACAACACAAAGAAAAAAACAACAGAAAGATGAATATTCTAGTTGATATCGCTTTATGGGCAATAAAAATAAAGAAACCCGATTTAACGTACACAATGCCAAGGTTGGGAGCAAGTTTTGTACAAGAGTTGAAAAGACGACTTACAGGTGTGATCAACGTTACAGTACGTACTACGTACTTAAGTAACAAGACTCTTGTTACTTAATTACGATTTCTTCTAAGGACGAATTAGGAACATCGAAGTACGATTAAAGACCAACGTTCCGAAATTTTGCTTTTGTTTAAATCTTGAAATTAAGATGACTTGATTATTTGTTAATTTTCGTTTGTGACAAAGTTTAATAGAGAATAATAATTAGAATTAACTTACAATTTTGTTATTTTGATTTACCTTACGAGTTACATTTTGTGTACTAATCGATTTCTTGTGGAGGTACGATTTAAGCCAACAACTTATCCTAAATGTTGCATTAATTTATGCAATTACCATCAAATTCTTCATGCCAAAAACGGTTATTTTCAAAAAATTGAGACGATTCACTTAATGTTGGCTCTCGCCATAGAGACAAACTATGTTGCTGTATTGCCAGTACGTAATCCGCATTGTTGAACCTGATATATCGCCATTTTTTAAACTGAGGAATCTCAAGAACTTTATAAATATTAAATGCATCAATCGAAATTTCTACAAAAATAAAATTAATGTTAAAATTTATGTTTATAAAGCATTAAAATGATGTTTAAAGTACCTTTCCTATTCCCCGTATTGGTGTCGGGAATGTAATGATACATGAAGTCATCAGAATCTAACTCATAAGAATCGAATTTTTTAATTAATTCGATAGTGATGCGATCTAATTCTCTGTTTAGTCTATCTAAAAAGGGTTCCTATAACGACAAACAGAAAATTTCATTTTTATTTTTAAGAAGTAAAGTTGAATTTATTATAGAACACTTACTCTAGTGTTGTAAGTTACACCAATCAACCACCATAAAATCCACCACTTGATCATCCTAAATTAAACAAATTTTATTACATTTGAGTTTTATATCTATTAAAAGTAATTTAAAGATACTCAAATTTAATTAAAATCATATTTTTTTTGATAGATTAAATCATACGTACGTGTTATCTTCGAATATTTTGTAGCGAATCTGCCCTTCATCACTCAATAAATGAATAACGATTGCGTATGTTTATGCAAATAAATTACACATAAAAGTAACGAAATAATTTTCAGAATCAGAATTTTAATTATTAAATAATAAGCTATATAAGTAAAACAATAAAAAAATTAAAAAATTAGTGTAAAAAATGTTTAAAAAATAAATAAGAATTCGGAATGTGATGACGATTTTAATTGATAAAAAATTATTTTATAATTAAATATTTATTAATATTATTAAATTAATAATTTATATTTTAATTGCATATTTTTTAAAGATCAATTTTTTAAAAATGCTTAGAATTTAATTTATTCTAAAAACGAAAATAATTAAAGTTTAGAGCCATTATATAGTATTTATAATGGATAAGTCTTAAAAGGAACATTTGCATTATTAGAATAGTGCATACATTTACGAAAATTTGACGTCATTCCTACATTTTTTTAATAATGGGGTCGTGTAAAATGACACTAAATGTGCCCCCATTAATATAGGCTTTTATATATTTAAAAAAGACGAAGACGTCATCGAACTGACGTAATAACGTATACTATTTTGATATAACAGTGTAATCTATTCTAACACAGCTTATATGTAAGTTATATATATTATAACAGAGGAAGTGTAAAATGACATCAAATTGACGTAATAGTGTATCTTATACTGTACACTGTACTATCCTGAAACCGAATCGACTGACTTGTGTATATTATTATGTTAACGTAACGCAATTGACCCTTTTACTTCAACAAATATAACTTTAAAAAATATTAAAATTTGAGGGATTTACAACCACAAAATACAGGGAAAAATATTTGTGTTTATAAAATAAATAAAATCATTTTATTTATATTTTTTCTTATTCTTAATGAGACAGATAAGCTATTTTATAAGATCAGTAAATGGGGTGTTTCAGTAAGTGTAATATTATTGTTATTGCTATTGTTATTATTGTTAAGACTGTAAGCGAAAGTTATTATAAACACATCAATATAGTAGGAACGCCTTTAACTTTTTCATGAATCAGGAAGCGAAGTGAAGATTTATGTTCGATAATTTATCTTTTTATTTGTTTATTATTATTATTATTTTTTTTTTTACCTTGGGGGAGGTTTGTAGTGTTACGTACTTCGCCGAGAATCTGGTAGAGGGCGCCTCTTATGGAATCCAGCACAGCCCAAGGCATGAAAACATTTTCAAAGTAGTTTCACTTCAGTACGAAAACATCAGCGCTTCACCTTTCTCTCTGGTAGATATTTATTTTATTTTATTTATTTAATTATTTATTTGTGATAAATATTCTAATTTAAATAAATTAAATTTATATTTTCGAATTTTTACTTTAATTAAATATATATTTACTTTAATTTATTCAAATTAGTAAGATTAAATCAAACTAAAAGAATCTCTGTGAATTAAAATGTGATTTTTTTTAAGTATTTAAAAGAAAAAAAAGTTTATTTCCTTTAGAGTTTTACGAATTTTTAAATTATTTTAGTTTCATTGCAATAATTATAAAGTAATTGCGATCGTAATTTAATTAGAAGCGCTAAAATATGTTTAAACAGTTATTAAAAATGTATTTTTATATAAATGATAATTTTAATTGTATATTTATAACTTTTATTATGAGTCTTTATTTATAAAAATAGTTCATATTCATAATCTTATGTAAGCCAAAATAAATGAACATAGTTATGTAAATTATTTAGCGTATACGAGGCCCATGTCTTCCACCAGATAGCAAAAACACGAGGCCCTAAGTTATAACTTCGTGGTATGAGGCCTTAAGCTGTAGATTGTTTAGTTTATGCATACGAGTAAATCTGGCACTATTCATAATCTTATGCAATGAACTAAATTATGTATAATTACAAGATAATTGGCAAATAATAATAATAATAATAATAATTTTCATAATAATCTCTGATTGTAGAAAAAATTTTTATAATTAATAATTTATTTAATTTTCTCAAATTTTGCTTGAAAGTAACATACTTAAACACGCGTATCGAGAAAATGATGCGAGAAAATTAATAATAAACATGCGTGTTTATTGAAATTAAAGAAGAAAATATGGACGATGTAATTCGTTACAAAGAATATTAAGAAAATTTCCTAAATGTGATAAACCACGTATGACATATTTAACATTTTATTTACTTTTTAGTTAGGTCAAGGATGATACGCGAAACGGGATCTGACGAAGCGATGTAAATATTCAGTCTTGCTGTAACTAATAGCGTATGTAACATCTCATGTCGTATACAGTATTAACTTAAAAATGTCATTTGTACGCCATTATTGTTGGGTGTACTACGCTAATTTAAACGTCAAATGACGCAACGCTTAGTTTTATCAATGGGAGTCACGTGATATTTGATCAATCGGCAAAAGAACGCATTTTTAAAAATTCGAATAAGTGTTGCCAGCTGATGAGTAAGCGATCGCAATTAAAATTTAAACGATTTTTGAATTATTAAATTAATTAGTTTGTTTACAGTTTAGCATAAATTTTATATTTTAACGCAACATGTATTTATGAAATAAGTAAAATTTCGTGATTTATTAAATTTGTACGTTTATAACACGTTGCTATTTAATTAAATTAGCACATTCATCAAGGCGGATATCCTAATTTAGCCGTAATTTATCATAATTTATCCGTATTTTTACAAGATTTAAATTTGCAAATATTCGTACAGCTGGATTTTATATAAGAATCTTCTAGAATATCCTGAAATGATAAGATAAAATACTATTAAATGACACATCTGTTTGTTGTTTCGTAAAGATCAAAATCAACGAAGCGGTTGTTCAAAAGGAAATTTTCTTTTCCTTTTTTTTTTTTAGATTTAAGATTAGTTAAATGGATTAAACTTTTTCAAAAAAGTATTTATATCTTCCACCCACGTTCATGAGTCATTCTTTATTTTTGTTAATCTTTTATTTCGATCTGAAAGAAGAGTTTTGAATGGATTTTAATTGGACTCAATATTAGGTGCGGCTTTTTATATTATTATTGTACCTTATTTTATTCAAAAATTCCCACTTATTGTTATGCCGATTGAATTTGAATCGTTGTGGATAGATTTACAAAATTACGAAATGGGATCAACAACTTTAAAAAAAAAAAATTCGTGACTAGTGTCGGTCAATTAGGTTCCGTTTCATTTTCGTTCCATATTTCCAGGCAGTTCGAGTTTATTTTTTCGCGTAAATTACTGATAAAATAATTTTTTAAAATTTATAAATAGGCAATTCCATATTTAGAGGCAGTTCGAGTTAATTTTTTTTTCAAATAAGTAACATAAAATATTAATTTATCGGCAACTTTCTGAACTTCCGAACTCAATAAAATAAGTTAATTAATTAATCAGTGATCTGTAGTTAATCCTAGCTTAAATTTTAGATAAAAATTTATTACCGGTGCATAATTTTAGGTATTAATGAAATATTTTTTTTTAACGAAGTGCAGCCATCAAATAGGATTATAGGTCACTTGTAGAACGTCCGAAAGGGCCTCAAATTGATGCTTCGGGCACGACATACCGCAACAAACGAGTATCTCTTAACGAGTACAAGCCTATAACTTAAAATAATGACTTAAATTTGTAAGAAAACTCAAATTTGTTTTTTTAAAAATAAATTTAAGCCGTTATCTTAATTTATAAATTACGTTTCCAGCAATAGATGGCAACATTCATTCCACCCGTACAGCATTAAAAAAATTTAACATTATTTAATCTTTAAAATAATTTTGTATATTAAATGGCGATTAATAATGCTAGTAACGATATGAAGCAAGGTTAGAGGGACAAAGCTACGTTTCCTGACAATAAAAGAAAAAAAAATGACAATACGTGTTCCGTTTGAACAGCGACTCCGAACGGATGACGCAGTTACGCGTCTGCTTCGGTGTCGATCATTTGACAATTTCGAGTTTCGTACATCAAAAAATGGATCAAATTACTTGTAATGCTTACAATGTAAGTATTACGTCTTACTTTAAAATTAATTTTATATAAATAATATATTTTTATTTTGTTTAAAATTTGTTAATTATGCCACTTTAAATGTATTATATGTAGGCTTGTAATTGATCCTAACCTGAAGTTTTTGAATTTTTTTTTTAATGTCGCTTTCTGTCACTAAATCGCTTAGTTACTGTTTGAGAGGGGGAGATTGAAAGAAAGTATAAGAAAAAGGAAATTCAGTTTTACGCTTCGTTTTAATTAAAAAATAACAAAAATATAAATGGCGTAATTACTATGTAAATAAAAACGCATAGAAATTGAACTATGGGGTTTTATTTCATTTAACATCACGATTTTTCGTAATTATAATTTAAAAATTCCGCACGTGATCACTGTAAATAATAAGCTAGGTTGTTAAAACCAGAATGACACGACGCCCGTCAACAGCTGTATCCTAGATAAAATTCAAAGAATGATGAATAAATAAGTAGAAATGACAAATTGTACGAAATCGGTATTGAAAGACTTTAAAATATAATTTATTATTATTTAAATAAGGAAAAATCCAGTTTAATTATCGATATAATTAAGGAAATATCATATAGCAAAGGAAGTGATGCATCGATGCATAAAGCATTACCCACATTCACTACTACGATAAATTCCTTGAATGCCAACGTCAGGCTTTATTTATTTTTACCCGTGTTGTTATTGTTACAGACGTAATCTTTGCCTCTATCCAGTAACCACATTAATAACCGAGTGACAAATAGTGGTCGATTATTGATGAAATTGGTCTTTGTTACATTATTTGCACTTTCGGGTTATTCACCTTCTCGTTCATCGTCTCCCTTAACATAGTCTTAATTACCCTACCCAGAAAAGAAACCGAAACCAGTTTATTTCTAGAAAAGAAATTAGCTTAACTAGTCATTCTTGACATTTGATTTTTAAATGGTAATTCTATATGTAAGTAAAGGTTTTTAAATATTTAAATATTAATTAATCGATTACGCCCCCGAGTTAAGTTTCCATCAACAAGGTAAAAATGCTTTTTAAAGTAATTAATATCATGTTCAAGGCCGGATTTAGACTCGTTGTGGCTCTAAGCTAGAAGAAGTCATTTTGCCTTCACCAAATAATAATGAATTGAAATATACGAGACCCGAAACTTCGTAGTACGAGGCCTTAACCTCGAATATTTTCAACGTGCTGAATTAATACAGGGTATATATAACTAACATTGAATTACGAAATGTACTGTACGTGGACTGTACTGGACTTTGTATTCTTTTACTTATCTTCTGTTTCGAAATATTTTAAAATTAACGATGGTCAGCTGTTTTATATTCATTATATAAATCTAAATTTCTCTCTCAAAGCAAAAAAAAAAAAAAAAAAATTAATGGTGTTATATAAATATAAAACCTGCCTGGAATCCCGCGCTTTGCAAGATAATATTTAGCCATTTATATTCAAAAATTCAGCTGTTTTGTGTTTATTATATAAATATAAAACAGCTGAGATTGTCAACTGCAAATGTTTATCACTAATCAATTTAAGCTGTGAAAGAAACCCTGTATATGCCCCTATGTAACAAAGGTAAGCCGCATTAATAAACTTTTCTACTAACCAAATTTAACATCTTTAAAATTTAAGAAAATTTATTTTTTTAGACTTCTAATGGTTCACTTTCTTCAATTTAATACTTTAATATCTGCTTAATTCATATCATAAGGCTGACATTTGTAAAGGATGTATGCCCTATTCGTTATTAGTCATACTGAGTTCCTTTGAACCGTTTCCTTTTCGAGTCTATTTTTCAGTGACAAAGCGGACAGTAATTACCAATGGTACGATCTCTCTTGGACAATATTAAGTGAATCTCACTTAGTGTCCGAAGAGAGTGAGTTAATCTACTTAACCTCTTCAAATATAATAAGTTCGGCCGTTTCCCTTCACACCTAATCAACATTTTGATGACACTTTAATTAGAGTGGGCGACTTTCGCACGAAGTCAACGTTCTGCATCGAGTTTAATATAGTTTTCTCTGTATTTTTTTAAAGTTTATTTTAAATTTCAGGACTTAACCGATTGGACTGAAAAATGCCACGCGATTGCTTACGACGTCTCCGTTGTTCGACTTCCTTCGCTGAATAAAATAGGAATTGCACGTGACGTTCCCTCCATAGGACCTTTATTGACTTACCACAGCCAGTTAGACGACCTCGACTTAAAACGGAGTGCATCTACTGGTGAAGTGTTATGGACGAATAACGGCATTCATTCGACTGCTACATTTTCAGAAGAGGAATCGATACCTGAAAGAGAAAATATGTCAAAGAAAAGGGATTCGATCGTCGAAGCACGATTAGCTTTCGTGGCGGATATGGTTGAAACCAAGACCAATCAAGAAAATGGTGAAGTGGAGGAAGTTTCGAGAAAAGTCGAATGCTTTCGCAACAGCACAAACGACATGATCGAATGTTTCGGCCGAGAAGACGACGGAAGTCTACATAGGTTCGAATGCATTCCTACAACAGAGAATCCATTAAAGTTTGAGTGTTACACTTACGAAGTTCTGCCCAGCAAGGACTCTTCATTACAATGCTGCAACGACGATGTTGGAAATGATTGTCAAGTTACTGAAGAACTCTTAACAGAATCATCCATGGAATGCAAGACTTTGATAGACACAGAAACGAATCATAACGAGGAAGGAAAAGAAGTAGAAACTGGCACGACTACTTTGGAGGATATCGAACGAGAAAGAAGGAAAATCATCGAAAAACAAGTAGTGAGGAGGAAGACCATCGAAAGTTGGACTTTGGATCAGTGTTTGTGTTCAGAAGATGCTGTTGACGATGAAAAGAATTGTCCTCCTTCTCTTCGCGCTAGTTTAGAAAAATATAATGAAAGAAAACAGAAGAAGGATGACGATTGCCGATGTACTTCGCCTTCCTTTGTAGTGGTTCCTGAAGCAAATAGTTCTCAAATACCAAGTAAGAGATTATATTTTAATGCTGTAGAATATAAAATAATCTAAGTTATTTTAGTTTTTCTTATATACATTTTACACTTTTTAAAAAGAAAATACTGTATACATTATTTTTGCATAAAATATGAAATTTCTCTGAATAAATGAGGTTAAGAACAATTTGTTTAAAGGGTTAAACCCTTTAAGTAAATTATATTTAACCTCATTTATTCATGTTTATCACTTATCTATTCTTAAAGACATTTTAATGTAAGTATTTTAAATGCGAAAATGTAGTCGCGACAACATATCATGTGTCTTATCATTAATTATATTTTGGTGGAACTTGTGTCAGTCTGTTCTAAAATTTTTAAATAAAATTTCTATTTATGTTGACTTAAGAAAAATTCAATTATGAACGAGAAACGTACTTCTGAACAAATTAATTTTAATGTTTTTCTATTTTCTAATTAGAATAGTCAGGTAATTTTCTGACTTCTTTAGATATTTATTTGACAGGATCTGGAAAAGATGAAACGGAGCCAAAAATAGTCACAAATGTGGGGCTATCCCTCTCCTAAAGCCACGAAATAGTTGAATAAAATCAATCAAACAAATAAAATTTTTTTTACCATTTATTAAAAGGTATTTTAATTTATATCGCTTTCGTGTCATGTTTTGTACATAAAAAACTAAAAAAAGGGAATGTCAGAGGGCTAAATGTAGGCTATGCCAGATTTCGATAATTTAAATAAAAGAATTTGTATCATACGTCAAAATATTAAGTCGGCAGTTTTCAAACCTTTTTGGGTCTATTAATGGCCAAGTGGATAACATCACTGAACACTGGTCATAAGTTCGAGCCTGACCAACAGGTTGTCCGCATGATTTTTCCGACCTTTCGTCACGTTTCTAACACCTAAAATGGAGCCAATTTTCCGTAATCTCTTCGGGAGCACCTGTGTTGCATTGCCTTATCCCATCAAGTCCTTTTCGGGATAACTTACTGATGCGCCAATACTGTATCTCATCAAAGATGTGTGTATAAACATTACTTAATAGATAAATAATTAGTATTTTAAAATTTTGCGATATAAGTTGTCTATGAAAAGTTCGTGGCACACTTAGCGAATGGCGACACCCAGATCAAGATTTATGTCGAATTCTTGTAAACTAAAGTTTTGGTTTATACAGGGCCATATTTAGATTTATTCCTAAGCTATGACACAAAAGGTCCTTTCCTTCCAGTAATAATACTGTAATAGTAATTGTAAAAACGTGAGACCTTAAGTCATGTTTAACATTTGTGTAAAATGGGTTTATTTTAATAATTAATTTTAAAATGTTCTTTGCAACTTTCTTATGTTGTTAAATATGCAAATACAGTTATTTCTATAAGGATCTTTATTAAAGTTAACAGCTAACGTAATGAGGACTTACCAAATATATCAAAGACCTGTCACATTTTCATTGAAGAAAAGATACTTTGATAATTATGAATCATGTAATGTCTCCGATTGAAGTAATTAATAATTAGTTTAAAAAGAAAAGCAAAATATTTCTGTAGAGGACATTCATTTCAGCAAATATTTCCTACTCTTTTTCTTCGTCGCCGTGTAATTCATTTTCCCTATGACAGTATATCAATTATTCTTAATTTCGCTCATTTTATACTGTACCTAGTTCGTAGGTACAGTATAAAATGAGCGAAATTCCCGAGTTGTTTCATATCCCAAGAATATAGGATATGAAACAACTTCCTGACTAAAACTATCTTCGAAAAATCAGGATAATTAAGGTAAGATTAAGATTCTCGTGGCAGCAAAAGAAATCTTTATCGAATCTATTCCTCGTAATTTTCCTTAATTTAAGTAGTTCGTGATATAAATCTCATTCACATCCCTTATCTACGCTGATTGATTTTGCAGGCCCATTAGTGGCAGAGTGGATAAAACCACCAAACACTAGTAGTTGGTCGCGGGTTCGTATCTCACGAACGGACTGGCCGAGTTTTCTTCACGTAACACATAAATAGGGGCCAGTTTCCCATAAAAGTCCTCCCGGGAGGCACTCCCCCGTTGGCAGATCGCTCATGTGTTGCGTTGCCTTACTTAAATTAAAATTAAAAAAAAAAAAAAAAAAAAAAGGAAATCGAGCTGATTCACATTATTTCTGAATAGCGAATTACTGGTTTGGAAATATTTTATTAACTCAAACTATTAAATAAATTAAGTTTATTAAATTTTTATGCTTAACAATATATATTTATTCGGTTTTTGCATTAAATGTAATAAATTTCTAAAAATATTCACTAAGAAAACGTTATCTGAAACTCATTTCTGATAGAGTTAAATTGAATAATTTTCTACATTAAAATATTTTAATTTTCACTTAAACTTTTGATATATTTTTACAACCAACCGCGATTTATGTCGAGATTTCTCTATCTAATTTTGGGAAATCGCTTTGTTTTAAACTATAGGCTATATATTGATTTTCTTGAGACAACTTTTGACTTTTTAAATTATAATTTCCACGTTAAACTTTTTAATTAACGTCATTCAGATAATTATTTACAAGTTAATTAATATGTAAATTATATTCATTACAGACCTTATTTAATTTTTACATATTTTCATTATATATCGTTAAATTACTTGAAAATGATCAAAATTATTCACTCAGGTGTATTAAAAACAAGAAAATTTCTAAACAAGACTCGTTAAGCCAAAAGCTTGAAACCTTCAGGTATTCACAAATTTGTGTAAACGTTCAATGATTAATAATTGATGATGCTCATGTAGCATATTTTATAATTGTTACATTATTACAACAGTATAGTTGGAGGAATTTTTAATATTTTATTTAATTTACACTTTAAAGTATAAAACCAAAATGTATAAAAATTTACAAACGTCGAATTTATGAATATAAAATTATACTTCATTGTGATTGTAATTAACAACTAATTAATTTTAATTAAATAACAGTATTTTACTGTTCAAATGATAAGATTAAAACACAATATAAGTCAAACGTCAATTTAACAGCATTGTTTTCTTTAAAAATTGGTGTTAAATCGTGTATGGTGCTAAATTGAAACATCACAAACAGTAAAAATTATATAAAATGAAGATCTACGTACAAGTTCATGTTTTAAGTCACGTGATTTGGCGATAACAATGCCTTTTGTAATCAAAAATTGTAATATAGGCCTATATATATATATAGCCTATACTCGTATTCGTATATATACCTTTTTTATGTATATACATGCATTATATATATATTCATTTAAACTTCGGTATAGCGCCAACATATTCGTGAAAATATATATATATATATTTGTTTTAAAAAAAGAATATAGGCTATATACATATCCTATATTCTTTTTTTAAATAAATAAATAAATAAATTAATTAATATATTTTAAAATAAAGAAACAATTAAATGAAATAGTCATAGGATAAGATGTTACTTTAAGACCAAATTGGCTTAAGGCATTGTTCCTCATTAGTCATCCATATTGCTCTTCGGGCCTATCCATACTGGGCATAATTATGGCGCCCATATTGGCTAAAATGTGCTAATATCTCGCGTTAATCAATCAAATTTAATATTTATCATAAGTAATAATGCACTTTTGCAAAATATGTCTATATCAGCATTTTTTTGTTCGATTATATTCGTGAGGATCACGTCTGACATGTTTGATATGCAGAAGGTGAATTGAATTGCTAAATTCTGGATAATGATGTGCATTTTTATTATTTTGCTGAATTTTTACTAAACAATTAGTGTTTTAGATTGCATAAGAAGCCGAGTGTTACTAAAAGAAAGAATGATATGCAAAGAATAATTCTACGAATGAGTACTTAATACGAGGTGGCCGAAAAGTCAACTGGCCTGTTTTTCTTTTATAAACTTTGCACAGAACTGAAATAGTTTTGGTAAAATGGAATTTAGTCTTTACAACGGTGAACTGATTTTTAAGCTACTCTGTATTAGGCTATAAATAGTAGCCATTCTGTTGACTAATATATTGCAGAATATTACAATTTGTAGAGCTTACTGCAAATCGATGCACAAAAATATAAATTTTTATTATTTGTGTGATAAAAGTTTATATAAAATTGTTTAAAGAATGACAGTCTCATTTTAAAACTGTTCGTCCATTTCTTTGTTTCGGAGCATCATATGATTACAGACCAATTTGCTGAAGAAAGCAAATTAAGTGCATTTGTTTGGCTCCGATGGAAGAAAAAAACATTTAAAGAAAATCATTACGCAGTTCGTAAAAAAAGAAAGAAAATGTAAAACGGTTGATAAGTTTTACGACAGTAGCAGATGTTTAACATTTTGATTAGATCGGATTTTTTGTGCGAAACACTGGCACATAAGAGCTTTTTGCTTCTTGTGAGTGAATTTGATTCATAATATAACTAAAATCAGGACATCATAGTTCTCAATGTTGCCCTGATCCTCTCATATCCTGTTAACCTGGTACTGATTAGCAATTAAAAATGATGCAGTCTACTGCCTACTGCCGAAACGGGATTTCTTAAAACGATAGGAAAAGGCTTTACCTCCAATCCAAATGTTGAAACTTTAACAATAATAGAAAATAATGAATACGATTGAGTATTTGAGCAAAGTAAAATTTATATTTATTGAAAGTAATCCACTGTCATACAATAGAAGCTTTATAACAATAGTTTGTTTTAGATAAATCCTATTATAGTCACGTAGATTTATTCTATTGAAATTCTAAGCAGAGAAGAATAGAAAATCCATAATAATGAAGCTAGCTGAAAAGCCCAAGTAAAGAAATTGTTGATGACAGATTGGAAAAGTATTAACTTAATGAATTAACAAGCTGTAAAATTTATCCCATAGATTTAGGAACCTAAGTTGAAGGTATACTAATGCTCGTACAATCTTTCGCTATAATAGAATAGGCTTTCAATACAATTTCCTAAACTATTAAATTCTATCGAAAGTACAGGGTTATTACATGCCAACTTT